AGTGAGTGTGAGAGGAGCTGCAGTGTGTGTGTGAGAGGAGCTACAGTGAGTGAGTGTGAGAGGAGCTACAGTGTGTGAGTGTGAGAGGAGCTACAGTGAGTGAGTGTGAGAGGAGCTACAGTGTGTGAGTGTGAGAGGAGCTACAGTGTGTGAGTGTGAGAGGAGCTACAGTGTGTGAGAGTCAGTATTGGCTCCTGTGTGTGTAGCTCACAATGATAAACGCCATAATTCTTCAATTGGATAAATTATTGGGACGATGTCTGAAAGTGTTTCACAGGATAAATTGTGAGGTGTAGTGACTGTGCTTTGTAGGTGAATGGTAAAGATGAATTGGATTGAGATAGGTTGGGTTGGATCGGGATGGGATGAGTTGGGTTTCTAACTTTCATGTTAGATCTTGGGACGTCCTCCCGACGTGAAAGGCGCTCTATGAATGTAATTTTGTTGTTGTTGTTGTTGTTAGTGGGGTCTGGAGTCTTCCCTTCTTGTGCGGTTAGTGTTGTATATATGAGATGTATCTGCTTTGATAGCTGGAGTTTGGTAACTGGATTCAATGCCTTCCCTTCTCTGAAATATTGATGTGAATGGAGCAAACCTCCTCCCACTCGCTCTCACTGTACAGAATCCCAAAGGAAATCCCTCTCATTGTACGGAACTCCAAGTGACAAACATCCTGTGCAACACTGAAGTCAGAGGGTGTGTTGTCTGAGGAGCTGTGGATATTTTCTCTCTTGTTCTGAGTGCTGAGCTCGCAGTTTGCCGAATGGAAATGTTGGATCCAGAATTAAAGGATTGCGGCCACAGGAGCTTTGTGGGGTGGGGGGGGGGGGACTGCGCTGTGCTCTGTGTGGACATGTGCATTGTTACTGCTTATAACGCATGAGATTGTGTGTGAGTAGGGGGTCAGGGTCAGCAATCAGAGTGAGGTGAGGAAGCACTGATCTGAGATCCAATCGATCAGAAGCTGTAACTGTGCGATAAATCAATGTGACCAGTCACTGGGCTGTGAACAACTCTAGTGTCCACCTCTCCTCACACACACACACAGGCTCCTCACTCTCACACACACACACACACACAGGCTCCTCACTCTCACACACACACACACACACAGGCTCCTCACACACACACACAGGCTCCTCACTCTCACACACACACACAGGCTCCTCACACACACACACACACACACACAGGCTCCTCACACACACACACAGGCTCCTCACTCTCACACACACAGGCTCCTCACTCACACACACACACACACACACAGGCTCCTCACACACACACACACAGACTCCTCACACACACACACAGGCTCCTCACTCTCACACACACACACACAGGCTCCTCACTCACACACACACACACACACAGGCTCCTCACTCACACACACACAGGCTCCTCACACACACAGACTCCTCACACACACACACAGGCTCCTCATTCACACACACACAGGCTCCTCACACACACACACACAGACTCCTCACACACACACACAGGCTCCTCATTCACACACACACAGGCTCCTCACACACTCACACTCACTCACACACACAGGCTCCTCACTCACTCACACTCACTCACACACAGGCTCCTCACACACTCACACTCACTCACACACACACAGGCTCCTCACACACACACAGGCTCCTCACACACTCACTCACACACACACACACAGGCTCCTCACTCACTTACACTCACTCACACACACAGACTCCTCTCCTCACTCACACACACACAGACTCCTCACACACTCACACACACAGGCTCCTCACTCACTCACACTCACTCACACACACACACAGGCACCTCACTCACACACACACACACAGGCTCCTCACTCACTCACACTCACTCACACACACACACACAGGCTCCTCACTCACACACACACACACAGACTCCTCTCCTCGCACACAGACTGTGGAGTGTGCAGTGAGAGGCCGCACTGACACAGATAAGCTCCACACGGCACAAATGGTTCCCTTCTGTGCCGACAATCTGTGTTAAATTGGTTAGTGAAGTGCTTCCTCAGCTCATGTCTCTGCACATGTTTGTACATGTGCACATGTCACTGTAGCACAGGCCAGGGCTGTAGGTGCCACATATTATTGTCTTCGGCTGCAGAAGCTCATTGTCTGCGGAGAGACTGAAATTAATTTTCTTTTGTGAAAGGCCTTCAAGTACCTGAGCCATGGAGGGCCTGACAAGGCTGGAGTGACACTGAATACAGCGCAGAACAATATTCCTCACACGGAGAGTGTTCATTACCGATCCCTTTGTCTGGTTTTGTAAAGAGAAGCCGTGTCTGAACAGGACGTATAGTTTGTGGGTAATTAGCTCCGGATTATTTCTGGATTAAACCCTCTGTAAAGATTGCACCATTGTTCCTCACCTCGAGAGCAAAGTCCTCACATCCCCGTCTCCAGACAAACCAGAGAGTCCCACACACACCGGGCGGCCCACAGCCCAGTTTATAGGAGCAGGAAAACATTCCACCCACAAGCCCGTCCCAAAACCCTACGGGAATGTCAGCCAAGCTCCTGCAGCTGTGTGGGTGGGGGGTCTCCAGCCCCTCGTTGGGGACTCTGAGCTCACAGTGTTGGCTGAAGCTCCAGTGCAGTGCTGGGGGCGCGCTGTATTGTCAGAGGTGCCGTCCTTCGGAGAGATTGGAAATCAGCTCCCGTCAGTTTACCTAAACATTCTGCGGAGCTCGACGCCCCCCCCTCGACAATTCCCCCTCGACGCCCCCCCCGCGACAATTCCCCCTCGACGCCCCCCCCCTCGACGCCCCCCCCGCGACAATTCCCCCTCGACGCCCCCCCCCTCGGCAATTCCTCTCCAATCTGTCACCAATTCTGTGTGAAAGGCTGTGCGAAACGTCAACACCATAAAACAGTTAACACAAGGATGGGGGGAGGGGGAGATGTGGTCTTCGCATTACCCAAGCGAAGCCTCAGTCAGCGTTTTGGAGGGGCAGTGACACACGGAGTGTTGCTGTGGTCATTGAGCAATGGCCTCATTCTGTCAGATTGTTTACTATTGTGCTTACAAGCAAGAAAACACATAAGCAGAGGCAGGAGGCTGTCGGGCGCAGTGTGTGTGTGTATGTGTGCAGCAAACAGAGAGTGAATGCCCGGGTATAGTGAGGCCTTGGCACCCGACACACAAACAGCAACCAGTTGTGAGGCTGCCACACATGGGCATGAGGGGCGAGAGGGGCTCTGACATCGGCTGTGCCTGTGGGCTGGGAATTGTGCCCACGGTTACTGTATCTGCGCTTTCCTACAGACAATAACTAAATATTTATGTGTAAATGACAATGTAAACAGCTGCCGGAGCTCCAGACAAGTTCCTGACGTGCCTCAGAGTAACCCTCTGCTCTCAGCAACACTCCCAGACCAGACCGGTAGAGCAAACGCAGCGAGTTTGTGTAGTGGAGTGACTGTTTATTTTGTAGGTGAATTCAAGAGCCAACTTGTGCACAGTGACGTCCTGCAAACAGCCGTGAAGTGAATGATTGAATAATCTAGAGGATTGTCATCCAGGACACAGTGAGAGAGAGAGAAACACCCTTCTCTTTCCCAACAGCGCCGTGGGATCGTTAACGTCCGCCTAAGGCTCTGAGCCAGTGCTGCACAGCAAGTCCACATTATCTGGCCTTCGGCCTGCAGCTGCTGTCCACCTTTGTGAGTAGCTCATTCTCGGGTCTGCCCTGGGCAGATGTGCTGGGTACCGTGTGCTGGGTACCGTGTGCTCGGCACGGCTGTGGGGAAAGTACTGCACATAAAGAGCCAGTGCAATAAGCAGGGAGGTGGCTGTCTGTTTGTGTCTGTGCGATGGGAGCGAGATGTTGGCTTGGGGACCTGCGTGTCAATCTGACCTGCTCCAAACCGACCACAATGTCCATCACTGACAGACACTGGCCAGTGTCCCCTGCCCCCCCGCCCGCCCCCCACCACTGGAGTTAAAGTAAATTAAAACCCGTAAACAACAAAAACAAAATCGTCTTATGTGGAAATTGCTTTTTGTCATGTTGTGGGAGGTTGTGGGCCCACGAAACACAGTCACTACACTTTACAGTGTGTCCTGATAGGAGCTTTGAGATGATTCAAAGACATGATAATGTGCTGTATCAAATACAAGGATTATTATTATTGCTGTTGTTGTTATTATTATTGTTATTCAGGTGGATGTTAAAGATCCGGCAGCACTTCTTGAACAGAACCCCTCGAGCTGCAATTGACTGTTACTTTGACCAACCACAGCCCCCCCACCCCCTCCCCCCAGACAAACACACTCACAGACATCCACGACTATTTGTGGGACACTGATGTGCACAATTGGCTGCCATTTTTTGCCCACAAAATACACATTCACTCCACTTTACAGTACATTCTGTGAAGCTCTTTGAGACGTTTCGAAGATGTGATAAAGCGCTGTATCAAATACAAGGACTATTATTATTTGGGGGGGTGGGGGGAGAGGATGGGGCGATGTACACAGGACAAACTGTAATAACCAGCTTTATATCATTTACAAAAATATTACGTACATTACAACAAAACACAACTTTGAATCGAAACCCGGATCTGAGCAAACATGGGAATGTGGGAATGTGGCAAAACCAGTGGGAAAAGAAAACACAAAACACTTCTTTTTGTTTCCTTTTTGAAAAGTTTTTGCTTTTTACAAAACTCCTGCCCTGAGGCCGGCCTCACCACAACCTGTGTCTGCTCTCCCCCCCGCCCCCCCTGCTCTGAGCCCCCACCCCCCCACCCCCCAGTCACACTGAGCTCCTGCCCTCCCCCCCGCACAGTCACTGAGACCCTGGTGCTCTGTGTCTCGATGTGTCTTTGTGTCTCTCCCCTCTCATTTTCTCTCTCGCTCTGTCTCTAATCTCTGTGTCTCTCTCCTCTCATTTTCTCGCTCTGTCTCTCCTTCTCACCCTCATCATCTCATTCTCTCTCATCGTCTCCTCTCACACTGTCACTCATTCTCTGTTGATTTCTTTCTGTCACACTCTCTTGTTCTCTCTCTCCATGTCTGGCATCAGAAGTTGTGGAACAGGAAGCTGGTGGAGAGAGTGGGTTATGTCACACTGTGAAAGGGGTGGGTGGCGGTGGGGGTCAGTGTCAGTGTGTGGGGGGTATAGGGTGGGGGTATCAGTGTGTGGAGTATAATGTCCCCTGATCCCCTCTTGGGGAGAGGGGCAGTGGGAGGGGCTGAGCGAGACCCATCCCGGAGCCTTTGGCTTGACAGAGTTGGAGAAATTGGTGTTCTGTTTACATTTTTTTCCTGAAACACAAATTTCTTCTCAACATTTTACACTGAATTTGTCATGTGCCGACTCCGTCAGAGCCTCCTGTGAGCCGGCTGTGCCCCGGCTAGCGACCCGGCTCGGCACGGCTCAGCTCAGCCCAGCTCGGTGTGCGAGTCCAACACCTCCGGCAAGAGCAGCGTGAGTCAGTCAGTCGGTCTGTCGGTCGGATTGCCGGGTGTCTGGCTGGGCTGGCAGGCTGTGTCTGTCTCTGTGTCTGTGTCTGTGCTGGGCCGCTCACACCTTGTAGTAGATGTTGGCGGGGCTCTGTGGCGGTAGCTCCTGTACGATGTACACGGGATGACCATAGTCTCCGCTCACCTTCTCGTAGTGTGGGCAGTAGTTGTTCTCGTTAGTCCTGAGGGGGATGATGATGTCGCTCGGCTCGGAACCAGCGTTGCCACCAGTGACCTTGGGACCGGCCAGTGTGGTGAGAGACAGCACCGCAGAGCGTTGCTCACCGCTCTTACGCTGCCGCTTGCGGAACTTGATGAGCAGCACCACGAGGAAGATGATGATGAGGATGAAGACCACACAGCCGGCACCGATGGCCGCAAAGAGCGCAGCCTTAGGGCCTAAGGTTTCATCCTGTTTGTTCAGCTTGTCCTTCATCTGGCTGCCCGTGCCTGGTGGAGAGTGAGAGAAAGAGAGAGAGAGAGTGTGTGAGAGTTTGTGTATGCGAGAGAGGGAGAGAGTGTGTATGTGAGAGTGTGTATGTGAGAGAGAGTGTATGTGAGAGAGTGTATGTGAGAGAAAGAGAGTGTGTGAAAGAGAGAGGGAGTGTGTGAGAGAGTTTGTGTTTGCGAGAGGGGGAGCGAGAGACAACTTGTGAGAGATGGAGTGCATATGAGAGACAGAGTGTATGAGAGAATGAGAGGGAGAGAGGGTAACATACCCCCTTCCCCTGGCTGTGGGGGGCCGCTGTATGGAGGCTCTGAGCCCCCTGGCTGGCCCTCAGTGCGGGGGTGGTCCCAGGGGGCTGTCACGCCTGTCACGGTGGGCTCCGCCTCTGTGTGATCAGAAATGAATTATAAATGATTATTGTTTAAATGATTCCAGACAATATTCCAGCTTTGCCGCTGTTATATCATGTATTACTGTGGCTGAGCAAACAGCCTGACAGACCATCACTGCACAGGCTCCGGGACACTGAGCTAACAGCGACCCCGAAAGCCTGATGTGACTGAGGGTCGGGGAGGGAGGGCATTCCTAACCCCCACCCCCCCAAGCCAGAGCCTCGCCATCACACTCAGCACCAAACTGGGGAGTGTGGGACGAGGGTGTGTGAGGCCTGGTGCCCGGGGGAGGTGGGGGGGGCACTGGCTGGGTCAGACGTGCTGATCTTTGTGACAGTCTCACCTTGTCCAACCTTCACGACTATCTTCATGGAGCGGGTCAGGCACACTCCTCCTTTCCTCTTCTCCAGGCCCCCCAGTGTGCCGTCTGACGTCGCTGAGAGAGAGAGAGAGAGAGAGAGAGAGGGAGTGTCTCCCAGTGCCTCACTAACTATCACCGTCACGTGTAGTGACTGTGTATTTGTCAGCAAAAATGCAACAAGTGTGTATAGAGCGAGAGAGAGAAACAGAAGAGAGGGGACAGGCCGAGTGAGAGGAGAAGAGAGAGAAAGGGGGGAGAGGATAGAGAAAGGGGGGAGAGGCCCCTCACACCACAGCTGTGAGGCGAATGGACAATTTACCTCGATCAACCCGTTCAGATGGGAAACATTAACACACACCGAGCAGAGCTAACACTCTCCCCAGAACTGCACCCTCCCTCCCTCTCTCTGTTCCTTTCATTTTCTCCTTTCATTTTCTTTCTTCCTCTCTTTCTTACTTTTCTCCACCCCCACCCCCTCGCTGGGCGGCTGTGTGCAGCTCGTTTACATTCAGGCTGTTAAGCCTGGTGTTGGAGTCAGGCCAAGTGTGGCGCTCACTGAGCAAATAGCTGAATGCTTGTTCCCTCCCAGGATTAGATTTGTGCGGAGACCTGGTTTATATTATGCATCAGCCTCGTGTACATACATTCCCCTCCCCCCCTCCCACTGCCTGCCCCAGACTGTGTTCCCTCTCACCATCTCAGCCTCGTCTCCACATTAACACAAATATCACATCCCCACAACTTCTGTCCAGGGACTGATTTACACCCCCACAAACACACTTTTACACCAACAACGGTTAGAGACACAGTAAAGCTCCCTCTACACTGTGCGTCCATACTCCCAGGTCAGGGTTAGAGACAGAGGCAGAATCTCTTTACTATCACCCTACAGAAAGGTCAAAACACTAATCCATGGGAGGCAGGTGGGAATGGGGTGATTCTGGGGGAGTGAGGGGCAGGGATTGGGGGGAGTGAGGGGCAAGGATTGGGGGGAGTGAGGGGATATAAAACAAAGGCAAACGTACTGGGGAAACATTGGCAGCCGCACAGTTGATAGGCTGGCCACACCGACATTGGCACTCCCTGTGTTGGAATGTTAAACTGATTTGTTTTAGGAATGCAATCAGCTAACCCAGCACAGAGAGTGAGAGGCACACACACAGAAACAGAGGCACACACACACAAAGACAGAGTTAGACACACACAGAGTCAGAGACGTGCACACACAAAAACACATAGACACACACACGTATATGTGTGTGTATGTGTCTCTGTGTGTGTGTCTCTGTGCAGAGACAGAGACACACATACAAAGTCTAGAGACACACAGAGTCAGAGACATACAGAGAGAGAGACCCATAGAGACAGAGAAGGAGAGACATACATGCAGGGGTGTGGGAGCACTAGGTGGGGGAGTGGGGGCTGGGGGGGCAGTGTACGGGCACTTACAGGTGATGAAGTAATCCTGTCCCCTCTTGAATTCGAGACCCCGGTGGTTAGGGCTGACCTCCTGGAACTTGATGGTGTGGATGATCTTTTGGTCAGGTTTGTCACAGGAGAAGAGGACGTGAGGGTTGATGACAGTGTTACATGTGTCCGCCTGCTCGCGGCTCACCAGGTAAACACGGTAATACTCGTACTGTTCCGGCCCCTTAGGGCAGACCAGGTCCAAACGGTCTCCAATCTGAGGGTATAACACCAGCCCCTTCCCAGCTTGGAACCTGCCAGAGAGAGCGAGAGAGAGAGAGCTCAGTGTGGGTCACTACACATAATACATCCCACACAGTCACCAATACACCCCCCTTCCACCATACCATCAACCCTGAGTGAGACCCAGTGTGAGGCTAAAAGCGTGAGGTGTCTTGTAGCTCAGTGGTTAGAGCGTCCACCTCAGTTTGATTCCTGGACAGGTCAGGGTGAAACCTTAGGGAAGTTTCCTTACTCCATACACCTCTGTTTACCCAGCAGAATGTAGAAACATAGTTATCAGTCAATTGGTGGATCGCTTTCTGAGGGGTAATAACCTTGCTCAAAAAAATTGGTCACTCAATCCACGACTGTTTGTGGACATTGCCTGGCACAATTGGCTGCTGCGTTTTCACCACAAAGTACACAGTCACTACACTTTACAATATATCCTGCAAAATCTTTGAAATGTCACAACGACGTGATAAAGCACTATATCAAATGCAAGGATTATTATTATTGTAAAAGCCCGTGGAGTGTAGAAGGAAGGGAAGCATGTGTTGGTGTTAGCATGTGCCAGTTACATACATGGACCAGGCAGCTAACGGGACAATGTTACTCACATCACAAACACAATTACATCCCCAGAGAGAGAGCAATTAATATTACTGCTGTATGTTGATACAGTCAGTGACACATCCTCACCAACACAGCCACAGTCTACATGGCTTCCCACCCAACTACAAACCACACCCACATCAGACCACGTTGAATGCTCCCTCCCTCTCACTGTCTCTCTCCCTCGTCACTAACACGATGGGTAGAGCACCAGCACTGACAGGGACAAGCTATCGTGTCAGGCTGTATGAACAGTGCAGTGTTGGACAGGCCAGTGTCTGAGACCAGTCATTCCCACCGAAGGGCAGACCACAGGGTGAGATTAGCGAGTTGTCCATCCATCCATTCCGCTCTGTTGCCCTTAATTCCCTGTCACTGTAAGCGGAGCGCAGGGTTTGATCAGGTTATAAACTCCATTACAGGCAGGGGGAGGAATGAGCAAGCAGCTGGTGGGATTAGCACTCCCGCTCTCATGTCCTCACTGCTCACAGCACTGAATGCCACAACTAATCCGGGAAAAGTCAGAACATTAAGGTTTTAAGAGAGACAGATGGTGACAAGATGAGACTTTAAATCTGGAATTCCGCTTCTCTTAATACAGGACCATCCTAGACTGTAATATCATAATAATAATCCTTGCGTTTGAGATCACGCCTTCGAGATGTCTCAAAGCACTTCACAGAATACACTGTAAAATGAATTGACTGCATATTTGTGGGTGAAACGTGGCAGCCAATTGCGCACAGCAGCGTCCCACAAACAGTTGTGGATTGAGTAACCACAATTTTTTAAAAAATTTTTTTTGAAGGGATTATTATCCCCGGAAAAGTGATTTGCCAATCGACCAACAACCAGAATCCTACTTCTCGGTAAACAGAGGTATGTGGAATAAGGAAACTTGCTTAATGTTTCGCCCCACCCGGGATTGAACCCAGACTGTAATATACTGTACAGGCACAGACTGTAATATACTGTACAGGCAGCTGTAATATTCTGTACACACGCAGGTTGTAATATTGTGTACACACAGACTGTAATATACTGTACGCACACAGACTGTAATATACAGTAAACACACAGACTGTAATAAACAAAACAAAAATTACATTTATAGCGCCCTTCATGTCGGGAGGACGTCCCAAAGCACTTTGTAATATACTGTAAACACACAGACTGTAACATAGTGTACGCACACAGACTGTAATATAGTGTATACACACACTGTAACATAGTGTATAAGCACAGACTGTAACAACACAGGCTGTAATATAGTGTACACACACACACTGTAATATAGTGTACACACACACAGTGTAATACAGTGTACACACAGTAATATAGTGTACACACACACACTGTAATATAGTGTACACACACACACTGTAATATAGTGTACACACACACACTGTAATACAGTGTACACACAGTAATATAGTGTACACACACACACTGTAATATAGTGTACACACATACACACCATAATATAGTGCACACACACAGTAATATAGTGTACACACACAGGCTGATGCTGCTCTCACTACACGGTCTGTGTAACACGGGGCCCCTCTCCCGCTCCATGTTGAATTGAATATCAGAGTGTAACTGGAGCCAGGTGTGGGGGCCAGTTGTCTGTGCAGTGAGGGGAGGAAGGCCCCACACCCTGAGCTCGAGAGGTTAAGGGCATCAATAACGTCTCCCAACAGGAGAGAAGCAAAGTCGCCCCCTTTGTGTTTGTGCCCCTCTCAGTGAGCCAACCCACAACACACGCTCAGCCTCGGGCCTGGCATGGAGGCCTATTCAGAGCTGAAGCCAGACAGGGCCTCATTCTCTCCTCCCTTTGGAGTACAGCAATTGGTCACTGAGGCCTGGAGACTATGTTCGTGTTACCACGGAAACCCCCGCCAGCCCCTTCTCCATGTGAGACGGCTATTTTTCTCTCTGGGCCTCTTTGTGTCTGTTTAAATCAAGCCGCGCGGAGTGTGTGATAGCATTTACTGTGAAGGCATCTGCTGCACAGTCTCTTAACACAATTAATTCTCATTAAAACGGCATCAATCTCCTCCTCGTGTTCATGTACCCAGGCCGGACACACGGTTTTCCACATTTCCCCTCTGAACACATGTGACCCCTCCCAGTGCCGCCCCCCCATTTATTTACAGCTTCACCCTGTTTGTCCCCCCACCACGAAACACATCATTCCCCCCCCCCCACACATGCCCCACCCTCACTCATCCCCCCCCTCCACACACACGCATCCACACCCCTCCCCCCACACACACACACACACACACACACACATTCCTCCAAAGACACATCTATTCTGCCCCCCAACACACACAGATGGGGCCGAGAGGGGTGGGGGGAGGGAGGGACAAGAAAGAAATGGGAGGACGAGACGGGGACAGGATGAACTTCAAAGACAGACAGAGTGCAGGCTGTGGAGGGGGACATGTTCTGTGTTGTGAACAGCGTGTTCTGGCTCTGACTCAGACACATATCATTATCTCGCCAGCAGCGAGCAATTACTGACTCGCTTCCAATCTCCAATCTGTCCCAGATGGCTTCCCAAGTATCCTAACCACACTTACAGCACACTCTGCAAACTCACACAGGCCATTCCCCCCTCATGTCTGTGCTGGGGCTTGCTCTCCCACTGGAGCTCTCTAACCCCATTCCCTGCTCTCTCTCCCCCCATGGTGTCTGTGCTGGGGCTCGCTCCCCCACTGGAGTTCTTTAACCCCATTCCCTGCTCTCTCTCCCCCCATGGTGTCTGTGCTGGGGCTCGCTCCCCCACTGGAGCTCTCTAACCCCATTCCCTGCTCTCTCTCCCCCCATGGTGTCTGTGCTGGGGCTCGCTCCCCCACTGGAGCTCTCTAACCCCATTCCCTGCTCTCTCTCCCCATCATGCTGGTGCTCGCTCACAACAGGTCAGTTTCACTCTATACCATGTGCACAGACTCCAAAATCCCTGTTAAACTGCGGGTTCCAGTGGATGCTAAAAAGATACCCCAACGCTACAGTAAAGAGTTGGGATCTTCTCCCAGGGCCTGGCCAACAATCCCGGGTGGGGCTGGGGAGGACACTAAACAGAGAGCACAGTGATGGGTTGGGGGGGTGGGGGGGAACACTGGCAGGAAAGTCTCCTCAGGTCCAGGCAGGGACAATGGAGCAGCAGGGAAGCGCCCAGGCCAGGCCAGGCCGTCACCTGCCAACATTCAGATTCCTTTCAATAGAGCCTCAAACTATCTGAGAGGCCAACACAGCGAGCGAGCACATGGGTAGGTATGGAGAGGCTGATCAACGCACAAAGCCCTGAGAGACTGCAAGAGAAAGTGAGAAGAGGGAGTGGGAGAACAAGCAAGTGAAAAGCTGAGAGTGAGAGCAAGAGATAGAGAGTAAGACCACGAGAGAGCGAGAGAATGCAAGAGATAGTAAGAGTTAGCGAAAGAGATGACACAGACACACTCACACATGCACACACACACTCTCACACACAAACTCAAACACACTCACACACACACACACACTCACTCTCACACACACTTACACATGCTCACACATACTCTCACACACAAAAACACACTCACACACACACTCTCAGAAACACACACACTCTCACACACAAACTCAAACACTCACACATGCTCACAAACGCACTCACAAACACACTCACACGCTCACACTCACACAAACGCTCACACACAAACACACACACTCACACAATCTCACAAACACACACACTCTCACACACACAAACACAGATATAGACACTTCGTTATTTCATAATTCATTTCAATTCACATTCCTTAACATTTGTGCAATTTCAGTGCAGTCTGTCATTTTCTTCACTTCCTGTGCATTATTCAGTGTCTGTTCATTGTCTCGTCTGGCTCAAGAGCACGTCAATCTAACTGCTGGGGCTCTCTCCCCCACTGGAGCTCTCTACTCTAACCCCATTCCCTGCTCTCTCTCTCGCCCCATCGTGTCTGTGCTGGGGCTCGCTCCCCCATTCTCTCCTCTAACCCCATTCCCTCCTCTCTCTCTCGCCCCATCGTGTCTGTGCTGGGACTCGTTCTACTCTAATTACATTTTGCAATTTTCCTCTTTAAATGTTTATCTAATTCCCTTTTAAATGTTGTTTTGGTCTCAGACTCAACAACTTGTGACCACATTCCCTGTGTAATCAGGCTGGATGTGAAAGAAAATAATCCCTGCATTTGGTGCTTTATACTTTGGGAGGACATCTCAAAGAGCTTCCTGGGATTTACTGTGAAGTGCAGTGACTGTACATTTTGTCGGTGAATGCAGCAACTAATTTGTTCACAACCACATTACACAAACAGTCATGAAGTGAGTGATCAATGTTATCTGGGGGATTGTCAGCCAGGATACCGGGAGAGAGAGAGAAAGTCCCTTC